AAAATTGCTCCGAAAAAAGTGGACAGATCTGCAGCAACGTATTTAATCGATTGTTTTAACATATGAAAAACTTAAAAATGAAATTAATTGTTAATAATTATTAACATTAATAAATTAATGTTTTAATCCTCAAATTCATTAAAATTTATTTATCAAATGTTGCATTGTCGGGAAATTGGATGTCGGAAAATTATATTGGGGATTTCCAAAACGAGATTTTTAACTTCGTGAATAGGTTATGCCGGAAAAATAGATTCGAGTAATCTTACGATAATAACTTACTTTTATATCAGAGATAAAATAGATAAATCCAAAATAGTAACGAGGTGTGCAAACCGTTGATCATTCCAAAATGTTTATAGAAATGAATGGTCAAAAAATAATATGCCATATGCTTTATTGCAAAGTAATTGCCTTCACAAGTGAAAAATAATATATTTTCATTGTATGAATAGTATTTTTTATTTCATGAAATTAAATAATGGTTTTCTGTAGACATGTCAAGGTCTATCATTTAAGGACGAATTTTGAAAAAGGTAGAGGTAATATGATTCATTCAAAAAATTTGTTCAAAAATTAGTATAGTATTAGTATAATAAAATTATTTTATTTACTATCTGAAAACCATAAGAATACTAAAATATCACGTATATATTCTTATAAAACTATAATGTTAAATTTATATGTGTATTTATATTGTCGTAGATCATAAAGCTATTTGAAATAACTAAAAACCTGCATCAAATTATTCAGTCAAAATACGGTTAGTATAGCAAAAGTCGTAAATGTATCCAATGTTGTTGACGTAGTCCGTGCATGTCTCATACGCTTTTAATAGTACAAATTAATGTTAAGTACACAGAATCAATGTTTTACCAATAGTTTGCAAACAAAAATGAGAAACTACTATTTATAAACTTTCAAATCTTTGCGATTAGTTTGTGACATAACAAATTAAAGTAAAATAGACTCAACGAAGCTAAGAAATATATAATACAATTGAGTGTAACGAAATTTTTTAGTAGTCCATTTTAATCAAAGCATTGGTCGTCCACATATTCCCGCAAAAGCCTTTTTTTACTTAAAGAACTACAGGAAAGCTTCATATCGATGAAAAGTAATTTTGAAAATAACATTGTATGTGGTCAATGGAAAAAATACGAAAACTAATAATAAGTAGTTTACACGTATGTTACTTGTTGAACAATAATTACGAAATATTGCCGACAACTATATGAAAAATTTCATATTTTTATAAAAAATGCAATGAACATGGATTATAGCTTATGGAATATGGTATAGACGAACTAATAAACAGAGTAAAAGAAATCCAAGACCAGTATACTCACCTTTATAGAAAACAAGAGATGGTCCATATTGCCCTTAGGTAATCTTGGACATTCGATGACATTTGATATACATTAGTTTACTTTTCCAAATGTAAATGATAATAGAATTTAAAATCTATTTTGAATATTATATTTTTTTTATTTGCCATTTTCTAACTTTCGTTTTTGTAGTCGTCAATACACTGGCCATATTTTCGCATTCCTACGTACTTGAATATCTTAATAACTCTCATACCATAGATAGAAGTAATTTTTCCTAATATTTTGTTGTACGAAGCAATAAACCAGATTGATTTTTATGAAACAGTAAGTTTGTATTTTTATTGAATAATTGCGCATTTATCTTCAGTGAATAGAAATTCATCATAAAAGAATAAAACTTTCAGGGTGTACGATATGCATATGTGCACGTGTGCGCGCACGCGTCTGGTATAATGATAATAAATGTGCATGTATATGCATATTTATGTGTGTATAAGGTAAATAAATAGGTATATAAGGTAAGTAATTACGATTTTATCTACTTTTTGTTCGAGTATTTTTTTTACGTGTCTATTGAAATCTACGTGTATGCGATATACATTGAAAAACATAGGATCAGAAAGAATCCGTTTTATTTTTTTATGGTAAACAAAAAATATGAAAATTTCACAAGGTAAATTTTTAATCAACATACATTTACCTAGAGATTCATATAATGGCATTGAGGTTTGAAAATGATTTTTACTTTTTTTGAGATAGTTTAAATCGTGTAAATTGATATAAATAAATATGAACAGATCGGTATATAAAGAGAACAACTTATCTATGCCTTAATAAGTTATTATAAATGTAGTCAAGTAAAAAATAAACAAAGGAGTGGTGATATCGTAGAAAACTTGACGTGTTGAGATTTTTATGATCCATTTTTTTTTTAACTACGTCTCTACGTCTCTTAGTCTTCTCCAGAAGTTCAAAGATGAAACTTGAGAAAAACTTACATCAGTCTTTTCAGCAAAGAGCTAGAACATAAAATAATACATTTTAATAAGCAGAAATATCACGTTGCGAAATATATCGATTAACTTTTATAAAGGAGAAACAATGTTGCTTATTAGAATACAAGGGACCTGAAAAGTTAACTTTAATGTCAATATTGACTGATAATTAGTTTTAAATTAGATACCAATATAGATTTACTAGTTTGATTAAAATAATAAATTGGTTCTAGTACATATAGATATGATAAGTCAATGTGAAGGAATGGTATTGATCAGTTCAAACAATTTAAAAGAACACATTTTTCAACTTTATAAAAATGTCGAGCTATTTTTGCACAAGAAGATATGTACTTTTCAAGTCTCACGATGAAAGAGCAACTTGAATATTTTGTAATGGTAAAACTACTCAAAATTAAACATGAAAAAGAAATTGACATCATGAATTTAAAAACAAATTAATAGGCAAAAAGAAAAGATAAACCATACCCCGCAATCAAAGATAACGTTCGAGATCTTGTCCAAAAACTAAAAGTATTTAATATTAAAGATACTTTGCATGGTAGTTTACGCGAAGATCAAAAGTGCAAACATTGTCTCAAGGATTTGTCAATAGTTTCCCTCTCTAGATACATAATATTTTGTTTTTTGATAAGCAATTCTCATTTTATCCAAAAATATTCGATAAAATTATGTTAATGTAGATATTATGATAAGAGGTATAAAATGATGATTTTTTGTACTTACAGATGAAATATGCGGTGACATTTATTTGAGCTGACAAGGAGAGTGTCATGATGCCGGATCACCGATTTTCCGGGAATTTGGAGGGATGATAGCGCACAGTGTATGGAAAAAGTATAACTATCTCACATGCCTTTAATCAAATGAAAATGTAAAAAATTACTAAAATGAAGGCTTACTTTTACCTATAGCATGGACTGGCTACTGTAATTTAAAAAAGTGATATGAAAAGTAGAAAGCAACAGCATCGATTTAAATCATTGCACGGCTACACCAAACGAGTTTCTATTGAGATTAAATATTAATCAAGCATAACCATAAAATCCAATATTTTATGGTATTTATTAATAATATTAATTTTTATACCTTTCTGATTATTTTTTAATTAATCAATGGCTATAACGACAAATATTGTTATCTTAGGCCGTGCAAAGTATTAAATTAAAATGAGCAAAAAGAAGTAGATAGCAAATTTTAGTAATCTTTTACTTTAATGCCTAAATCTACATATAATAGTCATATAAGGTAGATCTGGTACTTTTACCGTACATTGCAAGTTATCAGAAAATATCGCTCTAAGTTTCAAAACAATTCTAATTCAAACAATGATCTGATACTTTCTTTCTGTAAGTGCAATATCAATCTTTTGCAGATTTTGATAGTTACACGTCGCTATTCAGTGGAACATACAGTAATGGCAACAAGCGATGCTTGAACATAGCAATGGGACTTGACTCTACGTACACTCGAGTAATTGTGCATGCTAAAACTCTCGTTCCACGCACGTCCTACCGAAAAATAAAGTTAGATACATGCGTGAGAAAGTGAATTTCACCTCGTGTGTGAGAGCAAAGCGAGGGTGAAGAGGCCACACGAGGTTCAAGTCACTTTCTCACACTAGTATCAAAGTGTACTATATTAATTGATATGAACTGAATTACAATCAAATACAATTCCATCGACGACTTTTTGATTATTGCGCAAGTGCTTATCGAATAAATGCGTTACGATACGAATTTCCGAATCAGATTAAGCTTATATACAATTAATATACTTTTTTGAAAAATAATAATAATAATAAAATAAGCTTCCTTTGAAAGGAAGCTTTGCTTTCGTGAAAATTTTAGGATCGTTTTTCAATGCGTTTTTACTCAGATATCCTGCAATATTTCAAATATAAATTATTTTCGTAATGTTAGTGAGTATTTGTACATGTAGGTGGGCGCATGTGCGTGTATGTGTGGTTAGTCAATCCTTGTGCGGTTCTGTCCAATCTGTCGTTATTTATTTTCTAAACTCTTGCAATTGGTGTGTAAGGATAAAATAAATTTTCTTATTAAGATCTGTTGAGTAGAAAATTTTTAGTCCTTTTGAAAATTTCCTTTTTCCGTGCTGGAAAATTTGGAAATCGGTCGAGTAGAAATTTTTTGAGAACCTCAATTGCGGAAGCTTATTTTTATTGAAAATTTCGTGTTTTCATGTTAAAAATGGTATCCATCATTGTGGTTTTCAAAGTTATCTTGGTAAATCAAAGTTATCTTGGAATTGCAAAATATATTATAACTGTTACTATAAACATTTTCTTCCAAAGATGTCTTGATTTTAAAAAATGACAATATATACTCGTTATCCATTTAAATTAATTTAAAAGACCAATGATACTTTATGATTCTTGTGTAGCAAATTAAAACTATGTACGCTTATATAGAATTTCAGCAACAAGTTAACATTTTTTAATGTTAGGTAAACGACCTTATACTCAGTTTCACGTAACAATAACTCGCAGTTCCGTACTGACCAACGTAACGATGAAATCATAAGTTAGCGCTTTAATATTCAGTGATTTTATCCTAAGCATGCAGAAATTACACATGTTTTAAACTATGCCAGAGACAACCTTCATTAAAGTTACATATTGTCTATAAAAAAGGCCTGACTTGCAACCGCGTATTTTCATTTGACTGTGTGCCGACCAACAGTTTTCACGGATTACAGAAAAGTATCCAATATGAAATGTTACACAACAATCTGTATACTGATATTAAGCTTACACATGATTGATGAAGCCTGCGCAGTAAGTATATAAGAATACGTGCACATTGTACATTGCAATCATCGATTGAACAAAATCACGATAATTATTATATAAAAGTGATTTTTATTAATATAAATCAATTCAGCGCATGAGCAAAACATCTCTATGCGTGTCTTACAATGCAGCGTCAAACATACCAAGCTCATTGTAAATTATTTGTATCATTGCAAATTTTTTATTAACATAACAAATGAGACAATCTATTTTCGAAAATTATTTATGCTTAAACAACTTTATATAGTTAATGAACTTATGTAAAAACTAATTTGGATATGGATAATCTATACGAAGTCGAATTAACTTGCTACACATAACAAATTTTCATGATTTATTATTAATCCTATTATTCTTTTAATAGATTATCGTTAAATTTTCCTAGTTTATTTTTTTTCGAGATAGAACCTTCTATATTTTATATTAATTATTTTAACTTTACAGAAATTTTATTACTTTTTAAGTAATGTATCACATAAAAAATTGATTTACTGCATTTCATGACATGGTTAATTTATTGGTAAATTTTCCGAAATGTATGGATCCTTGAAAATTCGTGTTATATCGGAATTTATTATATCAGCTAACTGCAACATCTGCATATAGTTTATCTTGCAATTCAAAAGATTACTTCTCTCAAACTAGGGTGCTACCAGAGAACAAATGGAAAAAATAGCTGAGGGTTTTCGAAAAACATGCATTGGCAAAACAGGAGCAGATTTAAGTGAGCATTCAGTATAATGTACAAACAAGTATTGTAATTAACATTTATTAGATATAATATATTCTTGGTAATATATTCATTTATAGGTATCGTATCAGAGATAAGAAATGGAAATTTCATCGAGAATCCGCAAGCTAAATGTTACACCAAATGTATTATGGGACTTATGAAAACTGTGAGAAATCTTTTTGTATTACTTTTAAGAAATAGTGAATAAGCATTTGAATCGTTTTTCTTTTTTTGTAGCTTACAAAACAAGGTCAAATAGATGTAGAAGTAATGATAAGACAAATAAATGTGATGGCAAGTGCGGATATTGCGCCAGCTTTGACAGATGGTGTGAAAACATGTTATAATGAAGGTAAGCACTGAATCAAGTCAAATTAATGTTTCCGAAACGTTATTATCCATATGAAACATATATGTGATTCCAGTAAGTGCCGACGAACCTTGCGAGCTTGCTTGGCGTTTCACCAAATGCCTTCATAGTCAAAATCCAGCTCTCTTCTTTTTCCCTTGAAAATGCCATAGTGAGGAGTATTAACATGATGTAGCTTCGTAACGATACTCATACTATTTCAGCGACATTTGTGAACTAAGCTCGATAATGTCAGGTTTTTTTTTATTAATGAAGATCAAAATGTTACAAAATAAAAAATATATTTTCGAAAATTAAGCTGTCAAAGTACCAGTTATTGCCTTTATAAAGTACGGCTTTAAAATAATAATATAACAAATATAGTACAGATTTTATTACAGCCATCGATCGCAAATTAAATTACGAGTATTCAGCACCTTTGTTTTTAGCAGAGCAATGCAACGAAGTTTTGCGTGATTCTGATTACCTAACAATTCTTATGCTCTCTTTCGCATTGTTCGTCAAGACTGCTTGGAGAAACTTTGCGTGAATGCGCTCGCAGACATTTCCGCGAGAAAATGGTCGACTTCCGAGGCTAGCTCCGCAACAGCTAACCGAGGAAAATGGCTAATGCGAGAAAAACGAGGGGTAAGAGGCAAAGTTGGCGCGAGCGCGGCGGTAGACGGAGAGGGGAGGGGGCGCGGGGCCAAAAAGTTATAAAAGCGGCTGTCCGGGCTGCGGCTGGCGTTTACGTCCCGCAATATAAATCATGGAACGGCGCGGCGCTGACCGCTATCCATCCCCCTGTTGTTTTTGCCGGATACGAGCGCCGCTACGGGGCGCGCACGTGCGCATTGGCCTCGGCCAACTCGCTCTCGCCTCCGAGAGCGGAGTCTCGTTATGAGCCCCCCGGCTATTTGCTTTTTCGCCGAGCGTGCGACGTTTGTTTGCTTTCTATGGGCATTAACGACGGCTTATCATCGCGTAATTAATACGCTGTTAAGCGTTCACGTCAATATAACCCGCTCTCGCGCACTTGTTATTACTTGCGCTTTGTTATTCCCGTAGCGACAACATCGCGATGTATCGCCTTTCCAACTTTTCCGTCTTTTTCGATGCCGTGCAGGATTATTAGTTTTTGCTGACTAGTGTACGTAGATGTGATCAGAGTGAACGCTGGCATCTGCGACGATCCGCCTTCACATTTTTACAATGATTTATTTGAATGCACGAGGCGCAACAAATGGCATAAACACCCTCGAGAAGTATATCTCCCTAGTCGTGTGTGTAGCATACGAAAATGCAGCGTGCATGTAACAAGAAGATTAACATCGTAAAAAATTCCAGGAGCTCGACTCTACACGGCCCACTCGAATTAATGCTGACACTCGTGACTTGATTTTCGCGCTGGCTGGTGCACTGCTCGTTGATTTCCAGCGGTCGACGACGGCGAGTTCATTTTTAATTATTCGCATTTTTTACGAGTTACCGATACCTTCTTTTTCTTTATCAAGTGTACAACATATGTTAATGTTACATAATTGCACTCGTGACGGCTGGATTAACCGAGCTTTTTGAGATTGTTGTTTAGCATCAAACGATTCGTGGCAAAAAAATCTAAGTCAGCATTTCAGATTATTTGCAAAAGGAACTAGTGTGAAATTCGAAAGATGACTTTTAAATTGACAGTTATTTTGAATAAAGGACGCGAATCGCTTCCGGCCTAATTAGCTATTGTCTGACTAATATTGTAAAATATTAGTCAGACGGTGGCTTGTCAAAGAGATCCATCGAGGAAGCGGACATTTTAGAAAGTAAGCAGTTTTCAAAAATTGGAAAGATTTTCCAATGAAAGAGGAACAATAAAAAAAGAATAGAAAAGAAAAAACAAAAGGAAAAGAGAAATAAGCCGAGAGAGAGAGAGCACGAAGTGATGAGGTGGCGAGAGGGGTGACGGCTGTAGCCGCGAACTGAAAGGACGACGACAAGGGGCTGAGGTACATCTGCTAATTGGATAATTACGGAGTGCGCCGCGTTTGTTTTATAATTGGGCAAAACGAACGAACTGCTCGCTCGCTCGTTTGTTCGACGACGACGTGCCAAACAGTGAAACGACTGGGAGTCACGCGCTACGTGACGAACCAGCCCCGCGGCTAATCCGGAGATCGAGAACGATGAGTCCCCGCACTGCGTCAATCCTCGATGACTTTTCAATATGACATCCTACTTTCACTGGCATCTCTACTTTTCACTAGTTTAGTTTTTTTCATCGATTCACTTCTGACGAGCTGACCTTGTCATTTCACTTCAATCGTGTTCAATTTTATAATTTTGTGAATATGTTCATATTTTCAAAGCCGATAATTAAAAGCGGAAAATTCAATACTATTACTATTTTCATATTAATCCAACTAATTTCAAAGACTAAATTTGGTAGAGTTTACAGTTTGTTCAAAGAATTTCCTAATTCAGATAAAAAGCTTTACTTCTAATGTGCGACTTATTTTTTACTTACGTACTATATAAACTTACCTTTTTCTAGCGCTTACTTTTCATAAATATACATTTAAAAAATTGGTCGATACGATACGCTTAATACATTTATTTGTCGTTCGATAATTTCTATCAAATTTTGCAACTGGGAAAAATGCCGTTAATTGATATTTTTCAACAAGCACATCATTTCCGCCGAATATATTGTTAGTAGAAATATAAAACAGGTAGCCAACCAGCAGCATCCTCGAATTCAGCAGTATTTCTCCATCTCTTTGAGCTTTGTCCCCACGGAGCCACTTGTATGTACTCAGAAATGGAAAAACAATTCGAGGGTGATTACGCTGACGTTGTCGTATGCCCGCGGGGTGAGCTTGGCGGCAAACGATCAAAACAATACCACGCGGCGCGTGCTAGTTTTCTTTTATGTTTTTGTATTCAATTTGCAATGGATGTGACGTTGGCGGTCGCCTATCGATAAAACAAAAATACGGAGAATCCCGCCACGTGCTAAGTACCTCTTCTTTCATTGTCGCACGTCCACTATTCTCGCTATTCCAATCAGCTTGTAATTGCTTGGTATTCGTTTCTTAAAAACATGTATACCCTTTATTTTCGGTTCAGTGATACGCCTACTTGGCAGTAATCGTACATGTATGTATTCATGTTTCGTATATCACTTATTCGATACTTCATACATACTTACATGTCTCAATACTTACCGTTTGAGATCATTGAAAGAGATACAAATTTTATTTTCTAACGTATTTCACTGCATTTCGAGTATAGACGTTTTTTATACAACCATTTATTAAATGTTTTACAGTATCTATAGTTGTTTTTTCTGCTCATATAGTTATGTATACATTTTTTATATCAATCCATTCAAAGCTACGAATGAACAAAATTATTAAAAAAAATTTGATTTGAAAATTGAACTAGATGGCTGAAATTGCATGAGTTCCATTAAAATATTCATTCTTAATTTGATATCAAAATAACAATGAATGAGTTTAAAAATAATTTGTTTTCAGAAAATTAAAAATTAAAGATTCCACGACAATAAGAAACCATTTCAAAAACACTGATTCTTGAAAGATCAAAGATAATATAAAAATAATTATTTTGTATGGATTGGCTAACAATAATAATATAAAATAATTTTTAAAGAAATATCATGTATATATTTACTTCATCATTGTTTCATTAAGAACAATATTAAATTATTCTTAACAAAATACATATTTATGTTGACAATTTTATACAAACATAAGTTTAATTTTTTCTTTTTTGTTGTTTTCTATAATCTGCTTTTAAATGCGCATTCACTTTTTGAATAATCAGTATACACGTTGCAATATAATTCTAAAAATTAATTTTGTCACGTGAAAATTACAATACAGAGATAGACTAATTATATACTAAGTTAATGAAAGTTATTGTTGTGTATTACAATCATATTAGTGGAATGAATATTTAATTCATATTTAATTCTTACGAAGTTACTATATGAAATAAATTTTCTTTTAGTTCACCATACTCACATAAATTGTTGTAAGATTTAAAAATCATGATTTTCTTACACTTTCATTCGTCAAATAAAATACGTGAAAAACTAAATCAAATTACGTCCAAATATTTTATCAAGATTCAAAACGTCTACTCGTTAAACAGTATAGTACTCTGATAGAGTAGACATAATTACGTAAAATGTACAATAATTGTGAATCACTGTCACATACTTTTCCATAACGAACGATTTTCCAAACTGATATTGACACAATATAAATTATAATTACAATAATCATTAATATTTTACAGCAACGTTATTATCTTCACGATGAGTATCCTAGTTACACACTGTAGAAATCATGTGTGCATTACATGACGTGACATTTAACGACTGACGATGGTTCCTAGGATGTACTATTGTTTAGCGACGCCTATTACCACCACTACCACCAGGTCTGTTGTTTCCTCGATTTCTTTGTGACTAAAGAATTACCAATGTTATAGAAAAAAAATATCAAAGTCAGAGAGAATTTGACAATGCAGCATTTTTTCAAACACTTACTTGATTAAAATTACGATCTTGCTGATGTTGATTTTGAAAGGGTCTCACAATTCTTTGCTGCCCAGATTGTTGCATTTGTTGATGATAACCTCGCTGTTGATACGACTGATAAGACTGCTGTGGCTGATAACTATTTGTAGTATAGCCACCAGCCCATGGCCCCACTGTCTGGTAGGAATTCTGTCTTAAATTTCCTGTCTGATAACCAGGATGGTTCCTTGAATCTTTCTGACGATCTGATGAGTAGCCGCTCTGGTAACCTATAATCCACATATTGTTTTAATAAAAGATTGATGAAAGATATCGTAGATTTAAAAAGTATTCATAATTTCAATAAATAGGATGTACGGAAAATCTAATATTATACTTCTATACATTATTTTAACTATTCGACGGGAATTCGACTTTAGAATTTACCGTATAATCATTAATTAATTATAATCGCACATAAATACTAGTCTTATTTATAATTTTCAAAGTCATAACTATCTTATTACTTTCTATTTATTTACGTCATTTACAAAATTAAGCTATATGGATTGCGGTAATTTGTTACGCTTGTTTGAATTTAGTATGATAAAGTAAATTTTAGGTCAAATTTACGTTCGGTGAATCGATAGATGCAGGTATGTTTTGGTGACCTTTATATATCATATATTTTTATGTATGTTTACGCACCTCTACTAGAATGTTGTAAAGATGCAGGTGGTGGTACATGACCGTAAACTCCTGGTTGCCGATTTGAATTATTTATGTTACGCCTTTAAAGAAACGATTGTTTAAAATTAAATATACTTTTAATCAATTCAATTTAATTAAAATGAAAACAAAAGAATTGTACCCTAGCATTCGGTGACCTGCATCACCCAACATTGCAACCTTGTTCGAAGGAACAAATCCAGTTTGAGGTTTCCAATCATTGTTTCCTCTATTCATCTGCTCAAAATCTTGAGGCTTGAGAACTCGTGGTGGCTCTTCAGCTCCTTGCAAACGTTTGGCAGGGAACATGTAGTCGTCAGAATATTTAGGATCCCTAAATCTTACACTACAAAACAAAAAAATGTAAGCATGTAATCGTTTTGACGGCAGTACAAAATATCATTTGAAAAGCTATATACCAAATAACTTGATTATTTCTAACTGGCAGTGTATTGATAGGTGAAGGAAGTGTGGCTCCAATTCCTACACAATCATGAGCCAGTAAAACGGTTCCTCGCATACCATCTATACAAATTTCAACTTCGTTATCGTAACCTATTTTATTTTCATACAGGCCTTGAAGGAATTGATAGCCTTTGTTATCTGGTCCAACATAAAGTCTATCGTCACCTCGAACATTTCGCCTCTCTAAAATAACAGTTTAAATAAATTACTGAAGCTTTTACTGTTTCTTGAAAATTCGCTTTTCTTACTTTCTGCAGGAGTTAATAAATCGTAATATGGCTCTAATGCTTTAAAAAGTCTGTCTTCTTCGACAAACGGCAGTAGAGCTACTCCTTGCCAAGCGAATTTCTTTCCATTGAGATCAATTTTGAAATCTTCAGGATAGAAATCGATAATAGTAGATCTCTGCAAGTTATAATGTTTTATTTTGTAAGCTTAATGAATTTTTTAAAATTAAATGTCAATAGATTTGATTTTTTTCTATATATTAAAAAAACTGACCGGGTCTTTCATCAATTTTGCCCAAGGCTCTGGAACATGTTTACAACTAGCAGCTGGAAATACTCCCATTAACTGCTCTAAAGGTCGGAACTGAATAATAAAATAATTATTGTTATGCAATAAATATTATCATCTTACATTATTGTAGTAAAAGGATATTATTCATGAATTTTTATACATTAAAAGAAACTTAGGATACTTACTGGTACAGTTCCCTTTTCAAATTCGGTTGACAAGCCACCTATGTTGACAAAGTCACTGGCGAATGGAGCATAATGATATGGAAAATACCATTTCCATGATGCACAACCTTGATAATAATAACGCAATACCCAACACAAGCCCCTTACGTATTGAAGAGCGACGTTGTTTCTGCAAAATAATGAAAATTAACGATCGATGGTTGTAACAAATACTGTCAACAAAAATTATTTACACTCACCTAAATGCTAAGTTTTCTGGTAATACGTCAAATTTAGATTCATAATATCTGTCTTTGAAACCATCTTCCCACAGTCGGACTTCATCGTGTGCTTGATCATCCTTTTCTTCTTCTTCAACTTCGTCGTGCTTACGTTTTTGACCTTTGTTATCGCTTCTATTACTAGAAGTACCACTCTACAATAATGAAACTAACGTTTACAAATGTATTTCAATATTTCAGAAATATAATTAACGTTGACTGTTTTGTACGTACCGCAGGAACAATCATTCGATCAAGAGCCAAGGTAGCATTGGTACCTTGCAACGCACGTTCGACCGAGTATGTGTTATAGTTTCTGCCTTGCATACGCATTTGAAAAGCTTCATATCGTGCATTTTGTACTGGCTTCACTTCTTTACCCAGTGGCTAAAACATAAACATTTAATTATTTTATATTTATTGATACAGAATATAATGATTAAACGTTAATTACATTTGGTGCAAATTGACCCATGGGAGTCCAGCTTGGCTTATAATTACTAATCGCTTCCATTCTTCTTTTCTTATTTTTTTCTCGTGCTTTAAATGCCAGCTCATTTTGTTGACGTTTTTTAAAAATTTCATCTTCAACATTCCCAAGATCAGATAAAATTAGTTGGACTCTATCTAAATTTACATCACCACTATTGGTCAAAAATCCCTGAAAAATCAAATCAATTATGTAAAAAACTGACAAATACATTTCTTGCTATTGAAAAATTATGATTTCATTTGTACCCCAGTTTTATAAACAGTTTTTTTGTACAAATTAACAAGTCTATCTATAGCATTTTCGCGGATTTCTAAAGAAGGTAGATGAGGCAGGAAATCATTTCCTACAAAAAAACACATAAACACCCAATCATCTATTGCTCTTTCAAATTCATATTTGAAAGGTAAATTTGGCATCTGTAACTCTCGTTCCAAATATTCTCGAAGCACATTCAATCGCACAAATATGAATTGACATTCAGAACCAAAAATCTTCTCTTCTTCTTTTTGATTTGGTTCTGCACCAAGGCAATCTTGCATATCATGACCCAACTGACCACAAATATCACAAGGTCTTGGCTTATTTGGTTTGAATTCTTCACGAATAATAGTGAAATTAGGCTCATGTGTTGCTAATCCTAACATGATCAAATCAGCATCTGCTCCACAGAGTACATGTTGCGTATTTGGGTCATGATCAGGTTGTGCTAAAAATAAAATTCAGATTTGATACGTTGACAATAACATTAAAATACTAGGAACTATATTAAATTAATTGGTTTATTTTAACTAAAATCATAAGCTAACATAGATTTATTTGTTTAGAAAATACAAATATGTTTAAACCTCTTTGTTTTCTAATATAATCCATGATTTTATGCTCTCCTTCACCAGGAACATTAGCATCACTGAGAATAACTTTGATATTTTTCCAACCTGGATCATTATTCAACCTATCGTGTATATAGTAATGTAGACAAGCAGATAGACGAGCCATGAATGGAGTACCCTAATGCAATAAAATACAAAATAATAAAACAAAGATATTTAAAAATTATTTACTTCTAATATTACTTACAGGTGTAATACAGTTACTATCAAAGTGATCTTCTTTTGGCTTTTCTGGAGGTAAGAAAGCTCCCTTTAATGCTAACTCTGATCTAATTCTTGCAATTTCAGTTAGTTTTTCACTTGTTTCCTTAGATGCTCTGAATCGTCGAGATCTTTGTTGATTCATTTTTGCTCTTGGTGCCTACGTGAAAAGTTGTTAATTGTAATAACTTTCAAAATACTTAAATTATAAAATTGACTTAAAAAAAATGAATATTTTCTATACAACAAAGAGTTGAGAAACTATTATATTACTTACAACACCATCAATAGCCATATATAGTAATTTACGAGGTCTTACTATCCGAAATAATCTATCAATACACTCAAAGATAGCCTCCATCATTTCATCCTCATTTTTTGGAGCAGGCCTGAAATGTTATTCCTTGTTAAGTGACACTGCTATTTAAGCATCAAAACTATAGTTTCAAATATTTATGTGAAAACTTACTTATCCTCAGGATGTGTACAAGGATGTATAATACCATTCATATCTAGATACAAGTTATCAAATTCTACACCATTTGGATTGGGTTCTAATGTATTGACTGGTACTTGAACTCCATCAACAGTAACAGGCTATTTATACATTATATATATAATCATTATTAGCGTAATTTAAATAGTATGATAAAAATGTGTTTGTACAAACCTTGTTTTCTATGCACTCGATTATTACAGATGGATATTTTCGACTAAGCCACCGGAAAAATGCTGGTACTCCCATGATTAACTAGGGTTATTGTTCAACAAGTAAAAAATAATACTTTATCAAAAACAGAGCCGTATGAATTTGAAACAATTTCGAATTTTCATGAATAAATGACGGATATATTATAATAAACATACACGACAGCAAACGTGATCTAACCTCAAACTGACCTCAAAATAGCATCTGTAGTTAAACTATACAGTGTCTAATATCCAGTTCAGTTTACTAGATGGCGGTGGGTCTCTTAGTTAAGACTCCGCGGTATGCCAATGGTGTCTAATATCTGACAATGCGCAGGCGCGCGCTATACGCAAGTCAAATGCGATTGGCTTATTGTAGTCCAGTAAAAATAAGGTCCAGTAAAAATAGGCCTGAAATGTTTTTGTCACGGAAGTGGATGCATTTTTGATATATGGTAAATTGAGGTCGAAAAAGACGATTCTGAAATTTGCAGAGTTCTAGGTCCAGGGGTTCTATGAGAAAATCACGTTTGAAACTTGTTTTCGCCTGTATCTCGCGAACGGCTGAACGTACGACAAAATAACATGCACCAATCGAAAGAGCGTGAAATTTTACATCAGAAACAATGTTTAACCGGACATCGATGAGTGGAAAATGTTGGGATAAAAAATAAATTAGAAACTTTACGTGAATAAGGTAGAAGGGGAAGGCTGGGGAAGGCGCAGTATAGTTTCGCTCTCCTCCGCCGCCCCTTCAAGCGTGTGCAGATAGTCGACGACACTCGGCAATCGTCGGCCTATAGCAGCCGAAGAGGGGAAACGTGCATGTACGCGCGCTTGAATTTATTTTCGATATTTGGTGGCCGGCGATGGAGCGGTGGTCGGAAACAAGTCTTATTATGATCTTTTAGGATTCTCTCTTTGCAACTAATCTGAAAAATTAGTCCTCTAACTAATCTGAAAATTTAGATCCTCGGGCGAGAGGGGAGACACGCTGCTGACTCTATTTGCTCGAAAAGCATTTCGGGCTTTCGGAGCTCAGCGGCGATTGTTGAGGCTGTCGCGTTTTGAGACAAACAAATTCCTTTGCTTTTATTTTTAACATCAGTACGAGGTAATTGATTAATTAACGATCGGGTCAAGCACATAATTTAATCATAAGCCCACATGTTCCTTGATAAACATATGTAACTTTCATACTTTGATAATCCAGTTCGTCGATAGTCGTGATGGTTAAAGTACGTACATGCTACATTTGTTTTTGCGGTCGTGGGATCGAATCCCGCTCGATTATTTTATTTTCTCGATTTCGATAAAATACTTTTTTATTTTAATTCATCTTTTTCAAACTTTTATAAAATAATGAATAGGATATAAAATGGCGATGGAAGTGACACTCGAGTTTCTACAAATTTATATACTTTGCACATAAAAAATAATAATAAAATTATATGTAGATGTAAAGAGTATAATTGATTGTGGTAAACTAAGTTGCGAATAAATAGGCAGCAGTTTTTAATTTTGTTTAAAATATTTAGAATCCTTTCGACGTGTTAAAGATTATCGTATAGCATTCCAATTATAGGACACGAGTTGTACAAATAAATAATACAGAGCGCCGTTGCCAACTTTTTTATAGACAATCAAATTCATCTCATTGTATAAACAGTTGATTGTACCTCCAAAAAAAGTTTATTTGTATATCGATGAAAAACTTTTTTTTTATCGTTATTATATTTGTGTGTAAAAAAGAAAAAAAATATAAACTGTGTTGTTCAACGTTCGTGCAATGTATCTTTATAAGATATGGAGAGAGTAATTAATTATTATGAACTATGCATTGCTAGGGTTTTTTTATTTTGGTATCAAAAATTGAAATCCCCTCAATATGGTAAGGATAGTCATATAATATAGAACGCCAGAAAATGTTGTTAATTTATTAAGGAAAAGTCCATTTTTATGTTGTGTTTTTATTTTATTTTTATGTAATCAATGGTAAAATTTAAAAGAATAGCGATTCTAACTATAAAAGACAAAATCATTTTTAAATACAAATTTATGACAAGTGAATATTGCTTCTTTTATCGATATCGGTATATATACTCTAGCGTTCAAGTATATAAACACTTCGTGACAGTATATGTTTATATATGAGGTCACTAAGTGGATATAATTTAACCACTTCACAGTTTACGTTACTTTCAAATGTATACTGGTATATTGATAAAAAGCAATATTCATTTGTCATAAATTTCTATTTAAAAAGGATTTTGTCTTTTATAGTTATAGAATCAATATAATTTTACATTTTACCATTGATTAGATAAAAATGAAATAAAAACATAACATAGAAATTGACTTTTCCATAAAAAATTAACAACATTTTCTGGCGTTCTATATTATATGACTATCCTTACCATATTGAGGGGATTTCAATTTTCAATAACAAAATAAAAAAACCCTAGCAATGCATAGTTGATAATAATCAATTACTCTCTCCATATCTTATAAAGATACATTGCACGAATGTTAAACAACACAGTTTATATTTTTTTCTTTTTTACACACAAATATAATAACGATAATAAAAAGGTTTTCATCGATATACAAATAAACTTTTTTTGGAGGTATAATCAACTGTTTATACAATGAGATGAATTTGATTGTCTATAAAAAAGTTAGCAACGGCGCTCTGTATTATTTATTTGTACAACTCGTGTCCTATAATTGGAATGCTATACGATAATCTTTAACACGTCGAAAGGATTCTAAATATTTCAAACAAAATTAAAAACTGCTGCCCATTTATTCGCAACTTAGTTTACCACAATCAATTATACTCTTTACATCTACATACAATTTTATTTTTATTTTTTATGTACAAAGTATATAAACTTGTAGAAACTCGAGTGTCACTTCAATTGCCATTTTATATCCTATTCATTATTTTATAAAAGTATAAAAAAGATGAATTAAAATAAAAAAGTATTTTATCGAACTTGAGCTCAGCCAGGATTTTTGAGCTTCTCGCGCTTTGACATTTAGCAAACAAAATTTATGTTTCGATATTTTTAGCATAAGTACAGTGTAATTGATCAATTAATAATCGGATCAAACACAAATCAATGTTCCCAAACTCACATGCTCCCTGATAAACATATGTAACTTACATGCTATCAATTTTCAGTACACTGATAGCCGTGATGGGCAAGGCGCACTACTGATATTTTCTATTTTGCAGTCGTGAGTTCAAATCCCCCTTAATTATCATTTTTTTTATTTCGATTTGGATGAAATAATCTTTTGCGCAGCCTTTTTTTTACATTTGTTTATCGAATAATGAATAATGTTTTGTGCATATTTGTTTTATTAACGTTGTTTGATGTAGCACCTTGATTTTTTAATGCTAATTAGTGAAACTATTATAACATCCAAGGATGCCGTACAGTTTTAATACGAGGTATATTTCGGTCTAGAGTTTGCCTCTAATAACCGGGAAAAACAAACGATCTATATTTATTTTATATATCCTAATTGGGATAGGCGTTGGTAGATAGGATTGGATAAGTTGCTCCTTTCGTACTGCACATTAAAGGGCGCACGTCAAAGGAGTCTTATGGAGGATTGGAAAAATTGGGAATATAGCGTGAACAGTACTCGGCTTTACAAGCACTTAGTACACGCTTGGAAGGAAAACTAGATAAAGCAGTATAAGAAAGAAATTATAGATGAAAGAAAGATTTTATAGTCAATATGATTTTATTACTGTTTACTTACTTTGTTACAAAGGATCTCGATCGACGAATTTAGTGAAAACGAGAAGAGATTGAACAGATTTGGAAGCTGAGATCGAACCGAACTAATCGATATGAGAGCACTAACTCATAGCCTCGGTTAATACTTCCTACTCCAGATAATTTGGAGACGATACTCTTTCTTCCGCTCAAGGAGAGGAAGTCTTTCCCCTCATTAGGCGACAAGCGCATCACATACGGACTATGAGTCAACGCCCTATATTACTCTCTTCCTCATTTCTATTGCGTTTTTAATACGTGTGATCGTATAATGATTGTCGTTTACTCGTGACTGACTTGGGCTTGCGTCTGATTCGAGATATAGACCAGATACACCCAATTCTAAATATTTAAAGTGGTTCTTTCGGCATGGGAAAGAGACAGCTTTGCTTTATCTTCGAAATGACGCGTATGCGACATTCGATTTTAATAAATATATATATTTAAATAAAAAATGTAGATATACGGCGGACGTCACACTATGGTCAAAACAAGAATTCTCTACATAATCGAAAATTTTGAAATACTAAATATAATCACTTTTTTCCGCAAAAGGAAAAACAAATTTGTATGCTCCTGGGAAAATTGTCAATACATTTATATACGTGAAATTTGGCAAAGTTAAGGCGGCAGTGGCCCTAGCGAATTAAAACAATTCTTTTTAAGCAGAAGAACAACGTCCGTTTATTTTTTTAAAAGCTGCAACAAGAAGGTAAGAGCTGTTAAACGAATGTCAAGTATGAGTGTGAGTGCTAAATAATGTAGAGCACCAGAGAAGATGCGTTTATTTTCTTATAAGCATCACTAGGAATAAAAGTTCCGTATACTTAGCATGGAAATAGATAGATAAGTGTATTTGTATGTTCATATTATTTTATTGTCATTAAATCAAGGATAATAATTGAAATAACGTTGCATGTATAACTTTGTAAAAGACAAAATGATTATCAAATAGAAATGTTTAAAAGATGAATATTGCGTTTCCCTTTTCATCGCTTCGTTCGACGTGAGAATAGCGTAAACGGTGCAGCTATATCCAAACTTTTCGCCACGATATGTTTATATATTGGAACGCCATGCGGTAATCATTTTTTCATTCGCAATAGATGACTTCAGCTTTTGAACGATCTGTATCAAAGCTCATTAACGCACTGCTTCTCGTGCAAGTCATATCGATCTACAATATCTTGAACGAAAATTTCATTTAAAAATATTTTTTCAATACCATCGTTAAATTGTGTGTAAATCAGTTTGTGTTGTGCCAACAAGATTCTCAAAGTACGTAGAACATTATTTTTTTTTATATATTCACAATCAGTACCCACGCGAAAGTATATTTTTTGGAATAACAGTTTTTTGTAAGTTTCAAGAAGTTTGGATGTTATAAAAGTTTAAAGCAGCTGCTTTAAATTATTTTAGTTATTGTTATTGTTAAGGAACAATTTTTTTTTTATATTTGGTTATAATTAGATTAAAAGTAGCTGTCAAAAATATTTTTCAATAGTCGATTGTCTGAGCTTTTTGTATTCAATTTGAAAATCTGATGAGAATATTTTGATATTTACTAGATTCTTTTCATTTGGGTACAATACAATTATTTTAGTATTCAAAGCAAAGAGTCTCAATATTTATTATTGAAATCAAAATTAAAAATGCAGTAAGCATTTGCGTATTTTCTACTTACCACAATTTTCCAGTAGCTACACCATGTTTTTTGCAATTTGCGGAGATGAAAATAACGTTCACAAAGAAACAACAAATTTTATGTTGAATTTGTAGCAGTCGTTTACTATGACAAATATCGCGATGAATTATCTTTGTGAAATACGCGTGAAGATGTCAACTTTTGACATGAAAAATAAACGGTGAGTCGGTATTTTTTATTAGCATTTCGACACGGTACAATCTAGATTTTAAATAAATTTGTTTCACTGTATTCCTTGATCTTCCTTTACGTATAGAACAGTATTGAAATTTCTGTCCACTATCAAAACAGCCAAATGTAAACGATACATTAAAACAGTCCAGGTACAGGTGAGGTCACAATTCCATTTCATTCCAAATGGTTCAATATGAATTTGTAAATTTTTTCAATTCATACTGTCCAGCTACGCAATTGTGATCTGCATTCGTGCAGACTGCTTCACTGTATCGCTTTTAGTAACTGTGTTAAACAATTCAGACAAACAGAATGAACAGTCAAATTATAAAGTATACTATGGCAAAAATGCAGTACGTTCTTTTTTATAAAAATATGTTCATTTTTTGGCGATAAACAATGTTTACTCAATGTACATTTTCCACGCTTTACATGTAATAATCGCGCGTGTTTCGTACAAAAATTCATCGCGATAATCATAACAGCAACCAAGTAATTGCCTTTTATAGAAAATTCCTTTCTTTGGTATTTGATCATTATATTTGAATGATATGAAAATTCGACTTAAAAATCGATAAAATCGTGGTTTCATCAGATTTGTGATTATTTTCAATGAAAATAAATATTAAAAACATTGTGAGCCAACTTTGAAAATTATTTTCGGAAAAACGTTTTTATTCCAAAGGCTGATGGTCTTATTGAAATGTAAGTTATCACATTTTTTATAGTAACTATTGGAAAATTGGAGAGTTGAACTATCCAATGCTATCAATGATTTGTTCATTTTCCTAATTCAATAAATATATTTATGTAATTACTGGAAAGTTTATGTTTTTTATACGTGAGAAAAATAGGTTACTCAATTTGATTTTTACGTATATAGCGAGAAAAAAAATTGTAACCTATTATATTCGAATGACATTGCTGAAATTAATATTCAAAACAAAACAAAAATTAGACAAAATTGTTTACATACTTTTCATAACCAATATAGATTTAACGATGTTAGAAAATATGGGCAATTAACGGTTCTGAATAGATATCATTATAATACTCAGTAAACTGAAATTCAGGAGACAAACTAGAATGTATAAATTTTACTGTTTCAGATGTTGCGCTTACTTGTTTTTTCATTGTCTATTATAGTATATTCACACGGATTCGAAAAATATAATTTGATACCTGTTAGCACGCCTATATTACAAGAAGAATTATTTAAAGCTAGACTATACCATGAAATTTGGACAACAATACATTTCGTTGATATTAACGACCTCGTAAACAGCGCAGAAAAGCTGAATATAATTATAGAATATCTTGAAAATCAGTGTTCTCAACATATATTTTACTGTTTTCATACTTCAACTTTGAAAACACTCCGCAACAAATTTCAGAAAATCGAACGTGAAATCAAGTCACTACTTTCTTTAGGTTATGAGAAAAGAGAAAAAAGAGGATTATTCGATTTCGTTGGGGAAGGGCTACATTATGTATTTGGTACTATGTCATCAAGTGATGCTGAAAGAATCAATCAACAAATAGACGCCGTGTATAGTAGAGCTAGGAATATAGCAGTACTTGTAAATAATCAAACCGCAATTATGCAAAGAACTCTCCGGAAATTTGTTGATTTGAATGATTACTACCGAGAAAGCCTTATGTATTTGAATGCTACGGTTAGTCTTGCTTTTCAAGGTAATTTCCGACTACAATTTAATAGTAGAATGATGGATTGCATAACTGATACAGAAATGCACATTGCAGATATAAATGAAAACGTTAATTTAGTTTATGAGTCAGTTAACGACGGAAAATTGGGAGTTGTGTCCCCAAGATTGATATCACCAACAAATTTCCTGGTCGCTCTTAGTAAGATTGCTAAAAAGAATTTTTACCAGCAATTACTGTTTCCCTTAACAAACAATTATTATATTTTCTACATGAAATTAAGTAAGATTAATGTTGTTTTATCTGGTACTCGGCTCATATTTAAAATTCAAACACCGATACCAACTGGTGCTGATTATACTGTGTACAAATTTACACCGATACCTATGTCTGGGTGGGCACAGTATTACATATTTGATGGTATTAAAAATGAACCTATTGCTATTGATTCAACATTTACAGAGTATTCTGAAATCGACTTGAAAAATTGTATACCTGCTAATGATATTCAAATTTGCGAAATAACATCGGCCATGTATAAATTCGGTAGAGATGAAAGTTGCTATGACCGTTTGATAAGATACAAAGACGATAAAGGGTGTTCTAGAAAATATTTCAAGTTGCAATCTGATTTTGTTTTGGCATTAAATGACGGGTTTAGTTGGTATATCTTACCAGGAAACGAGTCAGAAAATATCCAGATCAATTGTGGAATGTCTATTGGTATGTCGGTGTCCATTAGTAAACCTCAAATATTTCAACTTGATTCAGATTGTAAAGCGTACTCTCCATACCATGTATATTTACCCAGAAGTCATGGTAAAAAAATAAAAATATCAGAATATAAAATAACAATTGATTTTCTGCCGATTGAAAAGATTGCTTTGAATATGTCAGACCTCAAACTCCCTGTACTGACATCTAAGTCCGTTGACTTGAATGAAATAAATAATTACGGAGAAAATTTAGATTATCTCTCGAAAGAATTAGAAATAATTACATCAAATCGGAAGTATAAAACCTGGGTTAAAACTGGTCACAGCACTTTTCATTATGCTATGTATAGTATTGCCACAATTGCAATACTTTATGTATTATTCAAACTACGAGTATATCATTGTATTTTTAGTGCTTTTAAAATGTGTATTCTCATATCGTGTCCTAATGCATGCAAATTCTACGTAAGAAGCGAAAATACGGCTAATATGACCAACCAAAGAGAAGGCGACAACGTAAATGCCGCTCCACTTAACTCTGACAATGTTCAATCAGTAGTTCGTTTTAATGCTACAGCATCCTCGTCGAATAACAATTAATTGAACTTATCTATCATCAACTATTGAATAGTTAAAATCACTACTACTATTTAAATAAGATTTAATTACTTAGGTGAAGGTAGCTTTCTACCAAATTGTAGGTGAAAAAAAATTTGTTTTATATTATTTTTTATATCAAAAAACGATTACTTTAAATTTTAAATAACATTGTAGCACATGGAAAATTTTTTTTAAAACTTGCATTTGCCCAGATTTGTATTTTTCCAACTTTAAAGTAACCCTTTAGCATTCAAAATTGAGATGCGAGTTTGAAATTTTGGGTATGTATCCTACAAATGATTTACAAAAAGGCTGTTTTCCGAAATTTCGATTTTCAGTGATTAAAATACAGTTTAAATAGTTTTTATGTAGAAAAGAGCAGTTTTTAACGTAAACGATGAACAAAAATGTTTGATTACGTGGTTAAAAAATTAATAAAATGGTTTATTGAAAATCAGAAATAAAATATTTTTTCGAGAATATTTACTTAAAATTTCAAAATTGCATCTCAATTTGGGATGCACGTGAATCGATTTCAATAACCTTATATTTGACTAATAAAAAGAATATTATCCCCTACAACTTGAGTAAAGCATTAAATAAGCTGAAAACTCGAGTAAGAGTTTCACTTTTGAAAACAAAAAGAATAAGTTAACGCAGGTGTTACAATAACAATTTTTTTAGAAAGCTACCATCAATCAGAAATTTTTCGGATATGCCACATGCCAATGATATGTTTTTGAATAATACAATGTTTGAGATTCTTTGCTATGGATACTTCAATGCCGATTTTTATCATACGTTTATTTTGTAATATATAATAATTTGTAGTTTACTTTAATAATGGAGGAAGGAAACATGTGCACTATCTGTGGTACACTACTACAAGAAACCGGTACCGATAAAATTACTCTTGTGAAATCTAAAGGCCTCGAAACTTTCATAAACAAAAGTCAATGCAGAAAAGATGGACTTCATGAACGATGGGAAGGAAAAGAAAGCGTTAGATTTCACGAGAGTTGTAGGAAACGTTATTCGGCGTTAAAGTTGACGGAGAAGAGAAAGAGAGATTCATCGGAATTACCTCCACTAAATTTCCCTACAGCAACCAACGTTTCAATTGAGTTCAATTTTGATGAGTATTGTTTTATTTGCAACAAGCTACTAGATCGTATTCACAAAAAAGTATCTACTTTACAACATCTATATACTTATAATAATCTTGTACTAAAAGCTTCGAAAAGAAATGATGAACTCGGCGTAGCAGTATCAAACCGACTAATTAATACGCCATTTAGGGAAAATTACTTTCAGTACCATTATTTGTGTTACAAACATTTTTTGTATGATTCTTCAAAGGCGCCTTTAACAGAACAAACTGCAGAACCAGTACCCGAAATACATAACGAAAACCCTCAACCACCTAATGCTCCATCGAACGATGATGTATTTGAAGCTATATACGAGTACATGGAGGAAAGTGGTAAATTTCGTTTTTCTTTATCGGAATTGCAAGGTTTGAATAATGAAAAAATCAGTAATAAAGTACTTTGTAACAGATTGGAAGAGAAATACAATGATGATATTTATATTTTAAAACATCGTGGTCGCGAAACTCTTATTTATTTTCAAAAAATAGATTTGACTCAAACATGTAGCGATTGGGTCACTAAAAAATCTATAAGCAATTTCGAAAAGAATGCTATTATACATTTTGCTGCAGAAATTTTGAAATTTGATATTATAAACGCAAAATACGAGAATTCAACATACCCACCAGCTGAAAATTTTCTTGATAACGTCAATTCAGAGATTCCAGAGTTATTACAAAATTTCCTCTATGATCTGTTACTTGATAAAGCAAAAAAGAAAAGTACTGAAGAAACTCACGCGAAAATAGACATGATTGCGCATAGTATAGTGGCTCAGTTACGTCCGAGATATTTTCTTTCAAACTTACAACTAGCTGTTGGAATGTATGTTTATAGAAAAACGGGATCGAGAATTGCAATTGACCTTCTTTCGAAATTTGGAGTCAGCGCATCATATGCATCTATTCAATTATATGAAGCCGCAGTAATCATTAATCCGCCGATTCAACATATTGATAGTCCATTTGTTCAATTTATATTTGATAACACTGACCATAATGTTGGAACATTAGATGGTAGTAGGTAAACTAGAGGGGCATCAACTCAGAGGGGTACTAGCTCACTGAGTTGAAGCGTGTGAGTTGAGGTGTGTGCATGTTCACCTCACTCCCCCCCCCCCCCCCCTCCCGATCGGCCCGTGCGCTGTCGACTCACCTCCCCCCCCCCCTCCTACTGAGTTATACCGATGCGTTCTACGCACTCCCCCCTCCCCTACTGAGTTGATCTGATGTGGCGTGCGTTCTTCCCCCTCTCCTACTGATTTGATTCCTATGCGCGCATCACCTCCTCCCCCTCCTCCTACTGAGTTATACCGGTGCGTTCTACGCACTCCCCCCTCCCCTACTGAGTTGATCTGATGTGGCTTGATCTGATGTGGCGTGCGCGTTCTCTGCAGCACTTCCCCCTCTCCCACTGATTTGATTTCCTATGCACTGCGCGCGCGCGCGCGTTCTGTGTTTCGCGTTTTGATTTTCTTATTGTGTGTGTGTGTGTGTGTGTGTGTGTGTGTGTGTGTGTGTGTGTGTGTGTGTGCGCGCGCGTGTGTGTGTGTGTGTGTGTGTGTGTGTGCGTGCGCGCGTGTGTTAAAAATTTTTAGATTTATCTGAAAAAAAACGGACGGATCGGGGGATCGAACGCGCGTCCTCCGGATCCGCAGGCCGATGCTCTACCGCTAGAGCTACAGCCACTGTTACCACGGGCAATACCGTATTGTGTATACTGGCTACACACGCGATTGATATGTGGGGGGGGGGGGGGCGCCGGCGGCTGCTGCTGCTGCTGCTGGGGAGGGCCCAAGCGCTAATACATACAAATGATAATAAAGTTTAATAAATATACTAATTATAATAAATATTATACATAAATATTTATTATAATTAGTATATAACGAATAATAATTTTTTTTATGTTCGATGTGTGCGCGCATGTGTGTGTGTGTGTGTGTGTGTGTGTGTGTGTGCGCGCGCGTGTGCGCGTGTGTGTGTGTGTGTGTGTGTGCGCGCGTGTGTTAAAAATTTTTAGATTTATCTGAAAAAAAACGGACGGATCGGGGGATCGAACACGCGTCCTCCGGATCCGCAGGCCGATGCTCTACCGCTAGAGCTACAGCCACTGTTACCACGGGCAATACCGTATTGTGTATACTGGCTACACACGCGATTGATATGTGGGGGGGGGGGGGCGGCGCCGGCGGCTGCTGCTGCTGCTAATACATACATAAATATTTATTATAATTGGTATATAACGAATAATAATTTTTTTATGTTCGATGTGTACGCGCGGGCGCGCGCGTGTGTGTGTGTGTGTGTGCGTGCATGCGTGTCTTATCTACCGAAATTGGTTTAATAGAAAAAACGTGCAAGTACCTGCTTACTTTCTTTTATTTGTAGACTTCGTGGTTGTAAGCTACTATAAATAGCACAGCGTAAGAATTATCGAATCTTTCATCAACCAGCATTCACATAAAATGGATCGCTACTCTAAAGTAAAGTACTCTCGTCTTCCACAGGAAGACCCGGACGAAAAGAAGAACAAAGAATCATCGACATGGAAACAAAGTATTTCGAAATTTTCGAGCAATACTAAAAATTTTCCTGAACAAAAAGGCTATCAGCAGTTCAATAACGAAAAGAAGAAATAATCATATTTATACATGTCATCATTGTACACCACCTCAACTAATAAATAAACATTTTTTTTGTCTAAATTCTATGTTGTATAAATTTTTTTTTTGTTGATAAAAAAATACAAAATTTATTATAAAAAGATGAACTGCTGCTACTGCTGCTGTCATCGTCAGAGTCAGCGAAGAATTTCGCTTTTTTTTTTTTTGGATGGTTTAATAAAAAATAAAAGAATATTTTTTTTTGTATCTATTGAAACAAAAATTTTTTTTATTGATAAAAAATATATCTTATTCTACATGTTCTTAAAAAAATACATATTATTCTACAAAGTATTTACTTAAAAAACAAAATCACTATAGAAATCCTTCAACAACTTCATCACTCTCTTCCCAATCCATACAACAGCCATCGATATAAAACTTTTTAATTATTTTAACGTTTTGATGTGCACATGTCGTTACGTATTTGCCGTTATGATTAGGGCACACGGTAACTAATTTTAATTTTTCGAAAGGCGAATAGCCCCAATCATTCAAATCGAAAACTTTGAGGCCATATCGTTCTAACCACTCTTTTTTCAAATCTCCGGAAACGAAAATTTTTGTGGCATCTTTGAGTGTATCTGTGATGATGAATTTATGCTCTTCGTATTTATAATCGCCAGAGTTCCATGTTAATCCATGATAGTAGAGTTCTAACCAGAGATTTTCTCGCTTATATTTCTCCGTTAGCCTTCGCCATGGAAAGGGAGGTTTGAACAAGCGTACGAGCGGTTCTTCGTTGTAGTTAATTGGGAGTATCGCTAACTCTTTCACGGCATAAGTTTTGCCAGGCATCATGAAGCCTTGCATATCCACTACGTACTCCATTGCGATAGAAAGCTACTACTGAGCTGCTTAAGGAAAGAGTCAATTCTTTAATACCCCCCCCCCCCTCCTAAATAAGTTTCTTCACATCTCCATTTATCGGATTATACTGAACGATGCGATCGTGTAGAATAAGACAATACGCTGTAGTTCCTTCGGGAATATTTTCTCTGGTTTCGAACTCCAAGCGCACATCTACTGGAGCAGTCTTTAATGATTCGTTTTGTTTCGAACAGTCAATCACTACGAGTGGCATGTAATTTTTATATTCGAGTTTTTTGAGCATCGGTTCGGCATCCTTACCGTAGTATACGTTTTGAAAATTGGCATACATATCGTACAACATTGCGTACTGGTTTTTACTGAAATCAATGTTGAGATTACCGTATGGATAGCACTGAGAGTTGAGGTACAGTTTTACATTTCTGATGTTACAATGATCAAATATACTAGCGTTAGAGTTTGGTTCATTTTTTCGATTGATTTGGAAGGCTAAGATGACGTAGCGTGGTTTCTCCAACTGATTTGTCGTTTTAACTGTCCAGACGTGATTTGTGTTTGCAGGCAGCGCTGGATATTCGTACAGTTCCCAACTACGAAAACTCATTGAAATACTTCGTTCGCTTTTTAGAAAGTCGAGTAGACGTATTTTCTTTTCATTCGATGCAGTCACATAGGGCATAAGCCATTCGAGACGTGTTACATTAATCTTGAATTCTTCGTAAGCTTCAACGTTAGCCACGGTCTTCTTCGTTTGATAAACTGCATTTAAATCAGTACTCGATCTTACGAGAATTAATTCATGTTTCATATTCACTAGCACTTTGCGATAGTCCTCAGCGAATCCAAGTATGAAGCTCAGAGGAATCAAAATGTCAAAGTCGCCATTCGCATTAGTTATTTTACGGTCCTCTTGTTCTAAGGTATTTATCCATCCGGCATTTTCGGCAATCAAGGTTTGACTTGGAGTGAGAGATAACCAGTTCTTCATAATGGTTGTGAGACCAACGTTCTTACATTTATCTATTTCTATAGCATTCAGCTCATACCTAATTTCTTCAAACATGTGACAAATGGCATTATTAACAAAATCAGTATTCGTTAACAAAGTGTTATTGTTGCTGCGTAATCGTCCACAAATGTGTAACGAGCTGCGAGATGGTAAAAGACACAAGTCTTGATGTTGAATTGATATACGAATCTCGTCACTATTTTTGAACGATGAATTGGTGTAAGGTTGATGAGCGTGGATCTCGTAATGAGCCAAAGATTCATCGAAGACGACAGGTGACTGTATTTCGAGAATGTTCTCCATTGTTTCGTTGAAAGCAGAAGCAGCAAAAAGAAAAAATTAGGCAATTTATTTTCCACCTGGAACTACTCTTAACCCAAGACTTTTTAGGAACTTTATGCTTTGACGTGTTAAAGCTTTCGCTTTCCGATGACGATTGATGACTGGAGTTCGTCGTGTTGACGTTTTCAATTTCAGTCGACGACTGATGATGGGTTTGCATTTTTCAATGCTTATATAGTCCCTACCACTCTTTGAATCGTAAACAATTCCCATTATACGCTTTTGAGGTGTAATCTGATGGTTATGACTTCACCGCGAAAATTAATTAAATTTCCGTCTTGATCGACGATGCATAATTGTAAATAATCTATAGACTTTTTCGTAACTGGAAGATAAATCACGCGAGAGGGAATTTCAATAATTTTATATCCAGGCGGTACTGCTGGACAAAATTCGTGAATATCGTGAACGGTGTTTCCGTTCAAGTAAGCTCCAGCGGTTATATTACACTCGACTCTCACAGCGTTCACTCTGAGAATACTGACGGGAAGATCAGAGTTGTGAGAAACGTTTGCCTCTAATGTACGTTGTGAAAAACCCAACAATCGTCCGATAGAATTCTGCGGACGAAAATCGATAGGTTCGGAACACTTGATTGTACAATGCAAGGTGTTGTTGTTTGGTTTCAAACTAAATATTATATTATTATTATTATCAGTACGGAGAGGCTGCACAGCTTTGCGAAGAAATTTATCAATGTCGTCGATCTCGTAGGTCCCGACAGGTATGTCGATAATTTGATTTGCGACGTAAAATTTATTATTATGTACGTCGATATTAGGTATCGAGTTGAACGTTAGAAACTCGACTAAGCCCAACTTGTAATGTTTATGCTGTGATAGTTCGATTGGTGGGAAATAGTGCGCTTCCAACAGTGAAGAATTACCCGAGAGCGTCAGAGTTAACGAATCCTCCATGACTGTGTGAACATGACTAGCGATATTTTCACGTTGCCTTTACTTTTATACCCTCGCACAAAAACTGTAAGCAAAGATGACCGCATACGTGAGAATTGAAATCTTGATATCTTTTCGTATTATATTTGATCTCGATATCGCCAAGATACATCATTAAATCAATAGGTGGTCTAAGATCTCCAAAGCTATCGAAATATGTGACGTTTTTTCCGATTTTGCGATAAGCCACCCAGTGCGTTCCTGTTCCTTCGACGCCGTCAAGA